CAAACACTCAAATTTCCCAGGCCGCAGCCGCCAAGAACAGTCCCAAAGTTGGAAGGTGAGTCCCTCGCTGCCGATAGTGCACGATCGCAGCACAACAGGAGGCGGGAGCGCGGGGACCCGCCCGGGGGGGACTCGCCGGGGGGGACTCGCCGGGGGGGCCGGGGCCGCCTTCGCTGCTCCCCCCGCTGCACCCCGCGGGTGTTAAGCGGGAAGCGGGGGCCCTGCAGGATCGTAGCCCTTTCCGCGTCTCGTCCAGGAATCTGGGAGCGGGGAAGCCGAGACAGGGCCGGGAATACCCGGGCACCGACCTACGGCCCCCGGGGGTGGCAGGGCGAGGCCACGCACCCCCCTCGCTGCTCCGCTGAGGTTCTACCTGCCTATCTGCGGAGGGCTGCGGCGGGGTCATTAATTACCTTTCGCACGTGTTGGGTTTTCTCAACAACAACAACCCCCCCCAATAAAAGAAAAAAAAGAAAAAGAAAAAAAGAAATAGAAATAAAGGGGGGGGGGGAAGGGAAGGGGGGGCATAATTCAATTATTCCGTCAGCTGAGCACCGGGGAGGGCAGCCCCTCTGAAGTCGCCGACCTGGGGCGACCGAGGGCGACTGACCCCTGCTTGCGCAGAGGCCTCATGTGTGGCATTGTGTGTTGTCTGTCCCTAATGGGACTTGCCGGGCCCGGGCCGGGCCGGTGGCGGCGGCGCCGAGGCCGCAGTGCCCACGCCAAGCGGGACTGCGGCTGCCCCGGCCTGGCGGGGGGGTTGTGCTGGGAAACACTCTGTCTCGGAGAGAAGGAGCGACCGTGGCTCCACGGCGGGAGAACATTTAAAAAAAAAAATAAAATTAAAACTGAGTTGTTTTTTTTCGCCTCGAAAAATCTCCGCGCTCCGGCACCGGCGGGACCGCGGGGCTTTGGGAAAAACTCGGGGGCTTGGGGCTGGGGGATAAAAATAAGTGGTCGTAGGTTTTGACGAGGACTCGCCGTATCGGGAGGGTTTGGTGGTTACAGCCCTGCCTTGCCTCCTATGTACTGTGCGGATCGGGCTACATCAATTAACCTATAAATCTTTTTTTATACGTTTCCCGTTTCTTCTCTGCCAACTTTGCCTGTGTGCGCCCAGTAGCATCCGCACCAGCGTACAGGCCCTATTTACATCCCATCGCTTCCTGACTGGAATTTGCTAGCTCGGGGACCAAAAATTGCATAAAAATTTTGTTTGTTTGTTTTTTGGGGTTTTTTTTAAGGGATTGTCAGTATAGCCTATGATTTCCACTCCCCTCCCCCCATGCGTTCAGAATTTAAAAAAATTATATATTTTGTATTTATTTTACTACTTCAGTACATTCCATTTTTATTCAGAGTATTTCTGGCCGAACCTAATATTTTTTCCAGAACATGGAGAACATCACATCTTCCCCCTTTTTAAATCTATCTCAATTGCAAACGTACAAACAACAACCGGAAAAGTAGTCTCGCAGGCTCCTTTCTCTCGCCGTGCTCCCAATGCGAGGGAAAGGCGGAGAAAGACCCCCCTGCTTTACGTCAAGAACAGATATCGTGTAATTCTCCTCCACTGCCTTTTTTTTTTCTTCCTTTTTTTTTCTTT